ACCTACGAAACAGAATGCTTCCGAAACTGACGTACCTACGAAACAGAATGCTTCCGACACTGACGTACCTACGAAACAGAATGCTTCCGACACTGACGAAAACACTTAGTGGCCGACGCTGTGTGACCAGGGACAAAAGGAAATCGCGGCATGTACGGAATCGCGATTTTTCCCATTATTTGCGACAAATTTTATGTATAGTTTAATGTATAGTATGTTAAAATTCGCGGTATCGCGATTTTTGGCCAAAATAATCGCGAAATCCTTTTGTCCCTGTGTGTGACCCTCTCTAACTGCCAGCAAGCCTCCCTCTCCAAGATGGCAAGAACGTACCAAGGCTAAAAGACATCTTCTCACTCTAAGTAGTCCAGGTAGCGTACTCTAGTTCGGCAGGTAGTCCAGGTAGCGTACTCTAGTTCGGCAGGTAGTCCAGGTAGCGTACTCTAGTTCGGCAGGTAGTCCAGGTAGCGTACTCTAGTTCGGCAGGTAGTCCAGGTAGCGTACTCTAGTTCGGCAGGTAGTCCAGGTAGCGTACTCTAGTTCGGCAGGTAGTCCAGGTAGCGTACTCTAGTTCGGCAGGTAGTCCAGGTAGCGTACTCTAGTTCGGCAGGTAGTCCAGGTAGCGTACTCTAGTTCGGCAGGTAGTCCAGGTAGCGTACTCTAGTTCGGCAGGTAGTCCAGGTAGCGTACTCTAGTTCGGCAGGTAGTCCAGGTAGCGTACTCTAGTTCGGCAGGTAGTCCAGGTAGCGTACTCTAGTTCGGCAGGTAGTCCAGGTAGCGTACTCTAGTTCGGCAGGTAGTCCAGGTAGCGTACTCTAGTTCGGCAGGTAGTCCAGGTAGCGTAGTCTAGTTCGGCAGGTAGTCCAGGTAGCGTACTCTAGTTCGGCAGGTAGTCCAGGTAGCGTACTCTAGTTCGGCAGGTAGTCCAGGTAGCGTACTCTAGTTCGGCAGGTAGTCCAGGTAGCGTACTCTAGTTTGGCAGGTAGTCCAGGTAGCGTACTCTAGTTAAAGTTTGGCAGAGCCGAACTTTAGGGTTTGTTGAACTGACAGTAGGTGTCGAACTAGGGTACGTGTCAAACTAAAGTTCAAGTACGTGTGCTTTTCCTGACAATTCAAGTAAATTATATAAAATTGTTTAATTACCCTCTAACTATGAAGTTTTAAATTTTGTTGTGCAGGATGTTGCCATAGCAACCACTAGCTGGATGGCCGGGGCCGGGATATTCAATATTCTAATTTTACAACACCAGATTCCAACACGTCTACAGGGTGTTTCAAAAGTCTTCCAAGGATGTACTTTTTGAATAACACTTTTTATCCGTTTTTTCTAAACTTCATTCTTTAAAAAGTCACTAGTAGTTCTAAAGTTTAATGGCGAATTCTAAATGTTGCCATAACAACCACTATCAGTCCCCCAGCAAGCAAATAAAATATCATTTTTAGGCGATATTGGTCTTTCATTTGGTCGATAAGAGAAACATTATCCAAATCAAAACGTTGGTGAAAGTGAAAACATTCTGCATTTTAAGAAATTGCCTAATGTCGTTATCAGAGTTATAGTGTCACCGAATCATTCCAAAAGACTAAAGAATTAAAGCTACTAAAGAGCAAAGAAATTAAATAACTGAACACTTGTTGCTAGCAGGAATGAAAAGCTTCAATCATTACGGTAACTCTTCTTAATTCATTCTAAATTCAATTATTAACTCTTCTTAATTCATTATAAATTCAATCATTAACTCTTCTTAATTCATTTTAAATTCAATCATTAACTCTTCTTAATTCATTCCGAATTCATGGTTGATTCTGTGACGATGAAGGCATACGTAAAACATACGTAACCATGGCAACGGCCAGAGTAAGTCAGTGATTGTAAAAAAGCAGCTAGTTAACGTCAGTTGTTGTTAAGTCGAGAACTCTATTTGAATACGTTCTGTGAAGTATATGAAAAGGGTAATCACACTGTATCTCGACAACCCTATATCACCATTTTATTGGATTTTTGACCGGGGAAATCCTGAAATAATAACACAATATTAATACTATCTTGTGCAGCTAAATCTAATACACTTTTAAGCAAATTTTTCTGATATGCCAACGAAATTAACTTGCTCAAAAATAAAAGGACATAGCTTTTTAACCTATTTTTGGACAGAAAATTGGGTTTTAACCGGGTAAACTCAGTTTAATTATCTCAGGAACACTTTTAATGAATTATACCGTCAAAAATGCGGAATATCTGGGGTCCCTAGCGTATCGAGCAGAAAATGCCTGTAAGGGATTCTACTTCATGGCAATATAACATGCGTGACGATATACAGTGTATGTCAAGATACAGTGTGCAAATCTATGAAAAGTAGGTAGAACTTCAAACAAGACTGCCTTGAAGCAACACATTATGCGGTGAATGTAATCCAAGGATAATATCAAGAATGATTAAAAGTGAAAATAACTATTGATTCCTAAACTCTTCATTTTAAACTGTAAAATTTCAAAAACACGTACTTATTACAGGGATGTAGGAATACAGGGATGTAGGAATGATTACACCCCTGTTGAAACACGTTCCATTAGATAACATCATCCCAGTATGAGTGATAGTATTCTACTATGCGGAGAATTCTTCTGTCTTTGTCACTGTTGTTACCATGGTTACACTGTTGTTACCATGGTTACACTGTTGTTACCATGGTTACACTGTTGTTACCATGGTTACACTGTTGTTACCATGGTTACACTGTTGTTACCATGGTTACACTGTTGTTACCATGGTTACACTGTTGTTACCATGGTTACACTGTTGTTACCATGGTTACTGCACTGTTGGCCTTCTTCCTCTAAGGTGGCTGCTCTCGGAGTATGAAGGCTGATATCTTTCCATTTAAGTTTCAGAATCAGAGGGGCTAGTATTAACTTATTAAAGTATTAATAATAAAGAAAACTTTAAACTGAAATTTATATCGATCAACTTTTTTATGGCAAAAATTACACAGAAAAGAACTTTACAGGACTTGGGATCTGAGTTTGGATGCTGTATCAATAATAATAATAAGTTCATCAGTTTCTTATAACAGTGGTTCATACTATAACAGCAGTATAACTATAGAACATTTCTTCATCGAATATGTGCTCTAATAATAAAATTTAGAAAATTTGTTTTTGTTCAGCCATGCATAATGCAGAAAGTAAAAAAGTCAGCTTGTTCGAATCTTCTTCATCTCTCAACTCTTTGATAAACCGTCAAAAACTTTAAGTCGGGGCGCCAAGTTCGAACTTAGCAAAGTTTTTAAGGCATTAAAATAGGTTCTAAGCTATTAAAGGGTACCTAAAATACTACGCCTCAAAAACTTTAACTTTGAATCACGATGGGATACCTTTCTAATGGAATCCTAAATAACTTGACAAATGTTTCGATATAGTTTAAGAGTTTAACAACTCTGTATTCTATAGTTCTGCACTAATATTCTAATTGCAATGACCGAGGAATAGCAATGTGACTGTTTGCAGAATCTGTCATAAAATCAAAAGTCTTTGGTAAAGGTGGGGACTCTTTGGTAAAAGTGGGGACTCTGTCGACTGCTCGTGTTGGCGTTATGTAGCCATGGTTACTTCTAGTAACCAGTAGTTAACAGAAATTACCATGGTTACACCACTCTATTCTTCTTCTCCCTCTTTGTATAAAGTCTTTGGTAAAAGTGGGGACTCTGTCGACTGCTCGTGTTGCCATGGTAACACTGCTCAGTTTATATATCACACTGCTCGTGTTGCCATGGTAACACTGCTCAGTTTATATATCACACTGCTCGTGTTGCCATGGTAACACTGCTCACTTTATATATCACACTGCTCGTGTTGCCATGGTAACACTGCTCAGTTTATATATCACACTGCTCATGTTGCCATGGTAACACTGCTCAGTTTATATATCACACTGCTTATGTTGCCATGGTAACACTGCTCAGTTTATATATCACACTGCTCGTGTTGCCATGGTAACACTGGTCAGTTTATATATCACACTGCTCATGTTGCCATGGTAACACTGCTCAGTTTATATATCACACTGCTCGTGTTGCCATGGTAACACTGCTCAGTTTATATATCACACTGCTCGTGTTGCCATGGTAACACTGCTCAGTTTATATATCACACTGCTCATGTTGCCATGGTAACACTGCTCAGTTTATATATCACACTGCTCGTGTTGCCATGGTAACACTGCTCACTTTATATATCACACTGCTCATGTTGCCATGGTAACACTGCTCAGTTTATATATCACACTGCTCATGTTGCCATGGTAACACTGCTCAGTTTATATATTACACTGCTCGTGTTGCCATGGTAACACTGCTCAGTTTATATATCACACTGCTCGTGTTGCCATGGTAACACTGCTCAGTTTATATATCACACTGCTCGTGTTGCCATGGTAACACTGCTCAGTTTATATATCACACTGCTCGTGTTGCCATGGTAACACTGCTCAGTTTATATATTACACTGCTCGTGTTGCCATGGTAACACTGCTCAGTTTATATATCACACTGCTCGTGTTGCCATGGTTACTGCTCAGTTTATATATCACACTGCTCGTGTTGCCATGGTTACTGCTCGTGTTGGCGTTATTTGGCCATTCTAGACCTCCAAAACTTGTACTGATCAAATATTGCCAATCGCATTTGTTAACCTATACTTTTCAACCAACTTCCAATTGACCGATGAAGACACAATATAAAATCGTTATGAATAAATAATTATTGAGTAGAAAGAACATTTGTAATTTTCGTCAGATCTCAAATTTGAATGTGCATTCCACCTTTACATAACCTGGTATAAGAGCTGAACTGTATTTATTTTTGACAGTCAATTATTTTTTGATTATTTGCGAAACCGCTTAGACAAAGTAACAACACGGAATATTTGTTATATAAACTGAGCAAAGTAAATGTTAGTTCAAATAAAGTTGAAAATCAAAATAAATATAACAAATTAGCAAATCTCACACGATCATGTATAAACTAGTTGGAAAGAAAATGCACAAATCAAAACGCAGAAAAATTTTAAAACTTCGCAAATTACCATGGTTATTGAAACTCCAGCAAGCACAACATTATTAAATTCGTATGCTAACGGTTATCTCGCAAACTCTCAAAATAATAAATACTTAGGCTTTAAGAAAAGTTGGTTTAGTTATACATGGAGCTTTAAAAAATAAATATCCAGCCAGAGACTCTGGTAACCATGGTCACACAGTCAGAGTAACCATGGTCACACAGTCAGAGTAACCATGGTAACACAGTCAGAGTAACCATGGTAACACAGTCAGAGTAACCATGGTAACACAGCCAGAGTACCCATGGTAACACAGCCAGAGTAACCATGGTCACACAACCAGAGTAACCATGGTCACACAGCCAGAGTAACCATGGTCACACAGTCAGAGTAACCATGGTAACACAGTCAGATTAACCATGGTCACACAACCAGTGTAACCATGGTAACACAGTCAGAGTAACCATGGTCACACAACCAGAGTAACCATGGTCACACAACCAGAGTAACCATGGTCACACAGCCAGGGTAACCATGGTCACACAGCCAGAGTAACCATGGTAACACAGTCAGAGTAACCATGGTCACACAGGCAGAGTAACCATGGTCACACAGCCAGAGTAACCATGGTCACACAACCAGAGTAACCATGGTCACACAGCCAGAGTAACCATGGTCACACAACCAGAGTAACCATGGTCACACAACCAGAGTAACCATGGTCACACAACCAGTGTAACCATGGTCACACAACCAGTGTAACCATGGTCACACAACCAGAGTAACCATGGTCACACAGCCAGAGTAACCATGGTCACACAGCCAGAGTAACCATGGTCACACAGCCAGAGTAACCATGGTCACACAACCAGAGTAACCATGGTCACACAACCAGAGTAACCATGGTCACACAACCAGAGTAGAGATCACCATAATAATCTCCCCATCTCTCATTCATTGGTTTGCACTTCTAGGATCACTGTTACTGCAGCTATAATGTCATGGCTTCATGATCATGTATATATCTCCAATCTCTCGAGTAGACTGTAATATTATGCACAGACTTAAAATTGATCAGTCGTGGTAAATTGTTCTCATTAAACCTAATCGTTCCGTCAGGAGTCAGGTCTCGGGATTCAAGATCACAGTCACGAAATCACGCTGTAGTAACTTTAAAAGTCGTAGCAAGGTCCAACTGTTCACTGTTCTGTCCCAATCCCTATCTTGCTGTACTCTTTACATAGCTCCTCCTGGAGTAGTTACATACAAGGTTAGAGTTAGTTGTAGATAGCCATGTGGAGATAGGAGTGTTCATATTGGGCAATTCTTAAACATTGCAACTCTAATGCCATGGCAACTAAACTCGCTACCAGAATGCTTTACCAGTAATTGTATCGTATGTAGTGTGTAGATTGATGTTCTTCATAGTCCACAACACTATTACTGTTCCTCTTCTCTCTCTCTTTCTGTTGCTAGTAGCTACCAGACTAGTAACCAGTAGTTACCAGACGTAACCATGGTTACACCACTCTATTGTACGCAGCCTGTAGGTTAATGTTCTCCACATCCCCAATAGTAGTGTACCCCATACTGTTCCTCTTCTCCCTCTTTCTATTACTCAGTTCCCTCTCCAACTTATCGTACTCCTTAGTAACCTGCAGTGTCTTCAGAACCATCAGATCAAACCCTAAACAGAACAACTGGATAGGAACCAACATGAATGCTAAACACCGTATGTAAGTTAGCTTGATATTGATAAAGTCCCTGAAGGTTTCCACACAGCCTGGTAGAGGTGTACCACTGATACGGTGGTGACAGGAGCTGATGTTATTGCTAATATTTATAAAGGAGCAGCAGGATAGCTCTGTGTGCACGTTATCCACAATGTTCTTGTAGGTAGCGTTAGTATCGTACTGAGACTGTCTGTACTCCCGTAAAGGCATGTTACTATGGTTACTGTTCATGCTTCTGAAGTTCTCCAGGGTCGAGTCTATGTGGTCCATGATGGACTGCTCCTTTATAATGGCCATGGATCCGAGCCCTGCTTCTAACACAATAGCTGCTATCGTGGAGACAGCGTAGAGTTTCAGTCTGTTTTCTTGAACCCAGTAGCAGCCGTGAATACCCAGCATGCCCTGAAATATGTTGAAGTTTATGAAGGAGTAAGGGTTTAGTGTGAAGTAATGTGATTGAAAGCTTTTAAGTTACAAAGATTTTATATCCCTCATTGATCAGGAGCGGGGACAAAAGAAAATCGCAATTATTATGCCCAAAAATCGCGATACCGCGATTTTTAACAGACTATACATAAGACTATACATAAAATTTGTCGCAAATAATGGGGAAAATCGCGATTCCACACATGCCGCGATTTCCTTTTGTCCCTGATCAGGAGGAGTGGCTAATGAAGACCTTCTTCTAAAGGAAACTATGTTTGCCACCAAGTTGGCAAAGTTCCAACCGGAATTGTAACTGTACCAGCTGTCTTGTGAACTCACCATTAGTAATTTATGTAATATATTACTAATAATATCCTACTACTTAGTAATTTATGTAATATATTACTAATAATATCCTACTACTTAGTAATTTATGTAATATATTACTAATAATATCCTACTACTTAGTAATTTATGTAATATATTACTAATAATATCCTACTACTTAGTAATTTATGTAATATATGACTGATAATATCCTACTACTTAGTAATTTATGTAATATATTACTAATAATATCCTACTACTTAGTAATTTATGTAATATATTACTAATAATATCCTACTACTTAGTAATTTATGTAATATATTACTAATAATATCCTACTACTTAGTAATTTATGTAATATATTACTAATAATATGCTATTACTTAGTAATTTATGTAATATATTACTAATAATATCCTACTACTTAGTAATTTATGTAATATATTACTAATAATATCCTACTACTTAGTAATTTATGTAATATATTACTAATAATATCCTACTACTTAGTAATTTATGTAATATATTACTAATAATATCCTACTACTTAGTAATTTATGTAATATATTACTAATAATATCCTACTACTTAGTAATTTATGTAATATATTACTAATAATATCCTACTACTTAGTAATTTATGTAATATATTACTAATAATATCCTACTACTTAGTAATTTATGTAATATATTACTAATAATATCCTACTACTTAGTAATTTATGTAATATATTACTAATAATATCCTACTACTTAGTAATTTATGTAATATATTACTAATAATATCCTACTACTTAGTAATTTATGTAATATATTACTAATAATATTCTACTACTTAGTAATTTATGTAATATATTACTAATAATATCCTACTACTTAGTAATTTATGTAATATATTACTAATAATATCCTACTACTTAGTAATTTATGTAATATATTACTAATAATATCCTACTACTTAGTAATTTATGTAACATATTACTAATAATATCCTACTATTTTGTTATGACTTTTTTGTATCGAATTTTTGGATAAAGTTGATTGATTAAAAATAAATTAATGTACACAAATTTTGCCTCAGATATATGTTTTTTACGTTTTGAATTTTTAACACTTGTTTTTAGATCATGAATACGATGTAGTTACATTGAAACGTCGAGTAATCTCCTTTCCCTAATAAGAGCATTTTTACTTGTCGCAACAACCGGGATAAAGATAATTTTACCCAGAATACATTACAACAATGCGACTCATAAATAATACTCCAATCCGGATTTTACAATATCCTACTACTTAGTAATTTATGTAATATATTACTAATAATATCCTACTACTTAGTAATTTATGTAATATATTACTAATAATATCCTACTACTTAGTAATTTATGTAATATATTACTAATAATATCCTACTACTTAGTAATTTATGTAATATATTACTAATAATATCCTACTACTTAGTAATTTATGTAATATATTACTAATAATATCCTACTACTTAGTAATTTATGTAATATATTACTAATAATATCCTACTACTTAGTAATTTATGTAATATATTACTAATAATATCCTACTACTTAGTAATTTATGTAATATATTACTAATAATATCCTACTACTTAGTAATTTATGTAATATATTACTAATAATATCCTACTACTTAGTAATTTATGTAATATATTACTAATAATATCCTACTACTTAGTAATTTATGTAATATATTACTAATAATATCCTACTACTTAGTAATTTATGTAATATATTACTAATAATATCCTACTATTTAGTAATTTATGTAATATATTACTAATAATATCCTACTACTTAGTAATTTATGTAATATATTACTAATAATATCCTACTACTTAGTAATTTATGTAATATATTACTAATAATATCCTACTACTTAGTAATTTATGTAATATATTACTAATAATATCCTACTACTTAGTAATTTATGTAATATATTACTAATAATATCCTACTACTTAGTAATTTATGTAATATATTACTAATAATATCCTACTACTTAGTAATTTATGTAATATATTACTAATAATATCCTACTACTTAGTAATTTATGTAATATATTACTAATAATATCCTACTACTTAGTAATTTATGTAACATATTACTAATAATATCCTACTATTTTGTTATGACTTTTTTGTATCGAATTTTTGGATAAAGTTGATTGATTAAAAATAAATTAATGTACACAAATTTTGCCTCAGATATATGTTTTTTACGTTTTGAATTTTTAACACTTGTTTTTAGATCATGAATACGATGTAGTTACATTGAAACGTCGAGTAATCTCCTTTCCCTAATAAGAGCATTTTTACTTGTCGCAACAACCGGGATAAAGATAATTTTACCCAGAATACATTACAACAATGCGACTCATAAATAATACTCCAATCCGGATTTTACAATATCCTACTACTTAGTAATTTATGTAATATATTACTAATAATATCCTACTACTTAGTAATTTATGTAATATATTACTAATAATATCCTACTACTTAGTAATTTATGTAATATATTACTAATAATATCCTACTACTTAGTAATTTATGTAATATATTACTAATAATATCCTACTACTTAGTAATTTATGTAATATATTACTAATAATATCCTACTACTTAGTAATTTATGTAATATATTACTAATAATATCCTACTACTCACCACTAGTATCACTATAACTGCTGATATCAGTAAAGTTCCGTAGATTACAGAGATCTGAGAGAATAGGATTAGCTCGTTATTATTAGTAATGTTAGCACATAATAACATATATATGACATATTATGTTAGTTATTCTTATTACGTAATCTTAACTTCTAATCTGTAAGTAGCTGGACAGACGACCCGTTCTATTTACTGTTATCAGCTATCGCAGATAAACATGTAGATTATAAGGGCACAATGAGAACACAGTACTGTAACCATGGTAACACAGCACAAATATAAATACTATAACACTTTGAGAAGAATTTGTTGACTGTTTGCTTAGAATAATGTCTTTTTCTTCGAAAAAGGTTCAAACAAACCAATTCGCTACAGAGTATTAAAATTTAAAAAATCTTGAGGACGGTAAAATGTCGAAAGTTTGTGTCTAATTGGGACCAACTTACAGAATATCAAAATTTGCAACATTAACTGTACTTACATCTTTGCCAGCAGGGAGAAGTAGAGGGGAGAGAACTAGTGACACCCCCACCCCGAACACTATTAGTTACCAAAGTTACACTACTAGTTACCATAGTTACACTACTAGTTACCATAGTTACACTACTTACATCTTTGCCAGCAGGGAGAGGTAGAGGGGAGAGAACTAGTGACACCCCCACCCCGAACACTATTAGTTGCCATAGTTACACTACTAGTTACCATAGTTACACTACTAGTTACCATAGTTACACTACTTACATCTTTGCCAGCAGGGAGAGGTAGAGGGGAGAGAACTAGTGACACCCCCACCCCAAACACTATTAGTTACTATAGTTACACTACTAGTTACCATAGTTACACTACTAGTTACCATAGTTACACTACTTACATCTTTGCCAGCAGGGAGAGGTAGAGGGGAGAGAACTAGTGACACCCCCACCCCAAACACTACTAGTTACCATAGTTACACTTCTAGTTACCATAGTTACATTACTTACATCTTTGCCAGCAGGGAGAGGTAGAGGGGAGAGAACTAGTGACACCCCCACCCCGAACACTATTAGTTACCATAGTTACACTACTAGTTACCATAGTTACACTACTAGTTACCATAGTTACACTACTTACATCTTTGCCAGCAGGGAGAAGTAGAGGGGAGAGAACTAGTGACACCCCCACCCCGAACACTATTAGTTACCATAGTTACACTACTAGTTACCATAGTTACACTTCTAGTTACCATAGTTACATTACTTACATCTTTGCCAGCAGGGAGAGGTAGAGGGGAGAGAACTAGTGACACCCCCACCCCGAACACTATTAGTTACCACAGTTACACTACTAGTTACCATAGTTACACTACTAGTTACCATAGTTACACTACTTACATCTTTGCCAGCAGGGAGAAGTAGAGGGGAGAGAACTAGTGACACCCCCACCCCGAACACTATTAGTTACCATAGTTACACTACTAGTTACCATAGTTACACTTCTAGTTACCATAGTTACATTACTTACATCTTTGCCAGCAGGGAGAGGTAGAGGGGAGAGAACTAGTGACACCCCCACCCCGAACACTATTAGTTACCATAGTTACACTACTAGTTACCATAGTTACACTACTATTTACCATAGTTACACTACTAGTTACCATAGTTACACTACTTACATCTTTGCCAGCAGGGAGAGGTAGAGGAGAGAGAACTAGTGACACCCCCACCCCGAACACTATTAGTTACCATAGTTACACTACTAGTTACCATAGTTACACTTCTAGTTACCATAGTTACACTACTAGTTACCATAGTTACACTACTATTTACCATAGTTACACTACTAGTTACCATAGTTACACTACTTACATCTTTGCCAGCAGGGAGAGGTAGAGGAGAGAGAACTAGTGACACCCCCACCCCGAACACTATTAGTTACCATAGTTACACTACTAGTTACCATAGTTACACTACTAGTTACCATAGTTACACTACTTACATCTTTGCCAGCAGGGAGAGGTAGAGGGGAGAGAACTAGTGACACCCCCACCCCAAACACTATTAGTTACTATAGTTACACTACTTACATCTTTGCCAGCAGGGAGAGGTAGAGGGGAGAGAACTAGTGACACCCCCACCCCGAACACTATTAGTCCCAGTGTCAGGTTTACTATGTTACAGTAGTGAAATAGTAGCCGGAGTGTGTCCGCTACCTTTATACGCTTCTCAGCTGGTATTAGCGGCTGCATCCTAACGGCTATAACATAGCAAATAGTGGGTTAGTAAACTACATAGCAAATAGTGGGTTAGTAAACTTAGAGTAAATAGTGGGTTAGTGTAATAACTTAGAGCAAGTTAAGTTAACTTAGAGCAAACTATAAACCTTTACTGTAACTAATAAGGGAAATAGTAGGATAGTGAACTAAAGGGAAATAGTTAGTTATGTAAAGTAAGAAACTATCATTATCTAGAGAAACCAGACAAGCAGGGTTTATTTACTCAAATAAAATGTTATTCTCAATTTGTTAGTGTTACTAAACTCAGATGTAAAAATTAAATATGGGATGATTCCATTTTATTTATGGATAATTCAACCGTAAAATCAAAGTTTCAAAATGAGTCGATTAAGCCGTTTTCAGATACTATATATTATATATATTATATATATATATATATAATATATATATATACCGGCGTCCGGCAACTCAAAAATAGCAGATAAATATTCACTAAAGGCAAAAAGACAAAGAAATCCGTATTCCCGGCAAATGCTATCAAAGCAGAGTAAATATCGTACGGCAAAATAGCTCGATCTATAGGATCCAAGCTGATCGATAACACACAAAAGCGTACTGTAACCATGGTAACACAGTACTGTCACCATGGTAACACAGTACTGTAACCTGGTAACACAGCACTGTAACCATGGTAACACAGTACTGTAACCTGGTAACACAGTACTGTAACCATGGTAACACAGTACTGTAACCATGGTTACACTGTACTGTGTGCAGCTCCTAGCAGCATTATCAGATCCCAGTACTGCGAGGGAGCTCGCACTAACGATTGTGGGAAATAACAAAACATTACAACTATTAACTAGTTATACAGTACTATTAACTAGTTATACAGTGTGTTATAACAGTGTACACCCGTGAAGCTGTATGCCAGGATTATGTCATACCCAGATCACCCCTCTCCTCCTCTGTTAGTACAGTAAGGAGTAGTTATAGTAACCATACACTTACCCACATTTCCTTGTCCAGATTTCAATGGCTTCAAAACACCGACCCCTTAGTAACCCTTAGTAACCCTTAGTAACCCTTAGTAACCCTTAGTAACCAGTACTAACCACTAAAGACCGCTGACTGGTGCAATCATAAGTACATGTTATAGCTGGGGAGTGGAGCTATAATTAAAATTATTACTAGCAGTCGGAAATGATAATTACTCTTATCGATGGTAGGATCGTGAGTTAATTGCAACCACACTGTGGTTACCTGTGGTTACCACACTGTGGTTACCTGTGGTTACCACAGGATGGCAGAATATTAATTATACCATTGCAGCTTCCACCCATATTTACACTCACAATTGAGCTGGATCGTTTTCCGATACGAGATTGGGGACGGGTTACTGTAACCATGGTAACACAGTACTGTAACCCTGGATACGAGATTGGGGACGGGTTCTATGAACAAAACAACCAAACAAACTTGACAGAATATCCGGATGGAAAAATCTCTAGATTTTCGTCTTACTGTTTGCAAGACGGGTTCCCTCATTTAGACAAGACAAATAAAAGCAGTAAATGAGGACTATTAATGTATAGTTGTCAGATTTGAGATTAGTGGCTCGTAATATAATATGTACACTGCGTCTTCTGCATGATTATACATTATATGTTGGTTAAAGTAGCGTTAGATGTGATTACGAGGTCAGATCCTGAGATCCAGCACGAAGGCAGGGAGACGGTGCGTGATAACTACAGCTAGAGATAAGTGTGATTACTGACCTAGCTTTACGGGCTATTAAACCCGTGTAAAGATTATACTAAAGACTGGAGACCCAGTTATTTTATCAAACCGATGTACTGTACTAAAGATTATTTTACAGCAACGCCTGGAAGCGGACTGACATGGCAAGGGAGAGAGTATTAGGAGTAGTAGTAGTAGTGTAGTAGGAGTGTAGTAGGAGTGTAGTAGGAGTGTAGTAGTAGTGTAGTAGTAATAGTAGTAGTAGTAGTGTAGTAGGAGTGTAGTAAGAGTGTAGTAGGAGTGTAGTAGGAGTGTAGTAAGAGTGTAGTAGGAGTGTAGTAAGAGTGTAGTAGGAGTGTAGTAGGAGTGTAGTAGTAGTGTAGTAGTAATAGTAGTAGTAGTAGTGTAGTAGGAGTGTAGTAAGAGTGTAGTAGGAGTGTAGTAGGAGTGTAGTAAGAGTGAAGTAGGAGTGTAGTAGGAGTGTAGTAGGAGTGTAGTAAGAGTGTAGTACGAATGTAGTAGGAGTATAGTAGGAGTGTAGTAGGAGTGTAGTAAGGAGTGTAGTAGGAGTGTAGTAGGAGTGTAGTAGTAGTGTAGTAATAGTGTAGTAGTAGTAGTAAGAAGTGTAGTAGGCATGTAGTAATAGTGTAGTAATAGTGTAGTAATAGTGTAGTAGGAGTGTAGTAGGAGTGTAGTAAGAGTGAAGTAGGAGTGTAGTAGGAGTGTAGTAGGAGTGTAGTAAGAGTGTAGTAGGAGTGTAGTAATAGTGTAGTAATAGTGTAGTAGTAGTAGTAAGAAGTGTAGTAGGCATGTGTAGTAATAGTGTAGTAATAGTGTAGTAGGAGTGTAGTAGGAGTGTAGTAAGAGTGAAGTAGGAGTGTAGTAGGAGTGTAGTAGGAGTGTAGTAAGAGTGTAGTAGGAGTGTAGTAGGAGTGTAGTAGTAGTGTAGTAGTAATAGTAGTAGTAGTAGTGTAGTAGGAGTGTAGTAAGAGTGTAGTAGGAGTGTAGTAGGAGTGTAGTAAGAGTGAAGTAGGAGTGTAGTAGGAGTGTAGTAGGAGTGTAGTAAGAGTGTAGTACGAATGTAGTAGGAGTATAGTAGGAGTGTAGTAGGAGTGTAGTAAGGAGTGTAGTAGGAGTGTAGTAGGAGTATAGTAATAGTGTAGTAATAGTGTAGTAGTAGTAGTAAGAAGTGTAGTAGGCATGTAGTAATAGTGTAGTAATAGTGTAGTAATAGTGTAGTAGGAGTGTAGTAATAGTGTAGTAATAGTAGTCTACAATTCTATTACACTCTTACTACACTCCTTACTACAGTAGTGACAAAGTGGTCTCTCTACCCAGCTTCCTAAGATGAACTGGTTTAAGATTAACCCATTAGACGGGCTACTATCAGTTAATTACAGGAAATGTTGTTTAACTGAGTTACTAAATCACTAACTTAGTGAAACACTACAGTGTAACCATGGTTACAGCACTACATACTAAGTGGACAGTAACCAGTTAGAAGTCGGCAGAGTAAGTTTACTGCCCATAATATTAGTTAGGATCAGATGGCAGTCATAGTAACATTGCCTGTTAAACATGAAAGTATTCATAATATCCACAGTAACGATAAAGCTGCAGGAGAAAGTATTGATCATAATAATAACATCCACAGTAACGATAAAGCTGTAAGAGAAAGTATTGATCATAATAATAACATCCACAGTAACGATAAAGCTGTAAGAGAAAGTATTGATCATAATAATAATATCCACAGTAACGATAAAGCTATAACAGGAGAAAGTATTGATCATAATAATAATATCCACAGTAACGATAAAGCTGCAGGAGAAAGTATTGATCATAATAATACTATCCACAGTAACGATAAAGCTGCAGGAGAAAGTATTGATCATAATAATAATATCCACAGTAACGATAAAGCTGCAGGAGAAAGTATTGATCATAATAATAATATCCACAGTAACGATAAAGCTATAGGAGAAAGTATTGATCATAATAATAATATCCACAGTAACGATAAAGCTATAACAGGAGAAAGTATTGATCATAATAATACTATCCACAGTAACGATAAAGCTGCAGGAGAAAGTATTGATCATAATAATAATATCCACAGTAACGATAAAGCTATAACAGGAGAAAGTATTGATCATAATAATAATATCCACAGTAACGATAAAGCTATAACAGGAGAAAGTATTGATCATAATAATACTATCCACAGTAACGATAAAGCTGCAGGAGAAAGTATTGATCATAATAATAATATCCACAGTAACGATAAAGCTGCAGGAGAAAGTATTGATCATAATAATAATATCCACAGTAACGATAAAGCTATAGGAGAAAGTATTGATCATAATAATAATATCCACAGTAACGATAAAGCTGCAGGAGAAAGTATTGATCATAATAATAATATCCACAGTAACGATAAAGCTGCAGGAGAAAGTATTGAATTTGATCATAATAATACTATCCACAGTAACGATAAAGCTACAGCGGGAGCTGCAAAGGATAAACTATACAGACAACATCTCTGATTATTAACTTAGACAATTACTATTCTTTAACTTTCTTCAATTATCTAAGAATTTACGGTGGCACTTAAATATAATTACATACACAACAAAGACTTGAAACAAAGACTAGAAGATCTAATCAGCTAGGCCATTATCAGTCTACACAATTACAAATTTTTAAATAAAAGATAAAAATGACACAGAAAAGCAGATCGGTCCTACAAAAGCTTCTTTATGCAAATAGTTGTTCTGACTGTAAGTAAAATATCTCTGGGAACTATTTCCAAAACAAAACTGTTTTTATTAGACCTAAGCCGACGCAATCCCAAACAATCAGGGTAAAGTGATATTCCCCAGAGAGTGGACTTGGTACAGAGAGTGGACACTGGACTTGGTACAGGACTTGCAGTACAGGTACTATAACACACGTTTACACGCACTAAACGTGCAGGTTGTAGGTAGTCGGTATGTTTAACATGATTAAAACGTACAGCCAATCTTTAGTGACTTTACTGCTTTCAACCAAAACTAATTTAATTGCGCATTTAGTTCCGACCTAGTAGTAATTGAGGACTGTGTTACCATGGTTACAGTACTGAGCTGCTGTCTGAACATTATATAATCTCCTTTGTTTGGATTCTGGCTACAAACCATTCCAGTGAAGAGCAGCATACCCGCTCTAATTGGGGAACATGAGATGCCCATATAAGGAGAACACGTGATCTGACATGATGAACACGTGATGCCCATATAAGGAAGTGAAAGCAGCATACCCGCTCTATTTGGGGAACATGAGATGCTGGGATTGACAATGCTTACTAAACGAATATTACAGAACTATATCTATATTAATTATTACTATAGAACTGTATATTGGCTATTAAAAATTCAAACAAAATTAGATATTGCAAAAGGAATATGTAAAACGAAATAATATATGAAAAAGTCACAGAGTTCAGCAAACAACACATACGGTATGTTTGATGAAACATGATCTGTTTCTAAAGATTTTAGAGTCTACAAAACTAAAACAGGTATAACATAAAGGCGATGGTAAACAATGTGAACAGGTTTACAATAGATTCTGAGTAAGGTTAGGAACAGTCCAGATTACTACTGTTGACTGTTGAGCTGTGGCCTGTGAGTACTGCTACTGAGTAAGGTTAGGAATGTTTATCAAAATACTAATGACTAAGGAAATAACCTGTTCAATATTCTTGAATGAATGCCTTTATAATGAATGTAATTTAAACATGTATATAAGCAAGTATGAGCATGATATGTGAGTCATGATGTAAAACGCGTAGCTTGTTAGTATTATGTTGGTCTATTGTTGATTTTTCAACAAAATTAAATGTTGAAATCTCATTAGAAATATTTCTGATTACGGTCACATACATATCCAATTCTTAACATATCACCTGCTCCATAATGGTATCTAATATTACTACAACTACTAATAATGCTATCTATGTTATCTATGTTAATATTATATTAAAAGTTTCTGTTACCGTTTAGGTGTATAATTAATCCATGCGACTTTTCCCTGAAGAATATTCGCAATTTCATTTGACGGCGAAGCCTTATTATATTATCCCGCAATTTCTGAAGCCTATGTAATCATGATTTCTCCAAAATTCCTGCTTATTGTGGAGATTCACACATAATGCCTGCCGAAACTTTCAGTTCAACAAAATAAACAAATTCTGCAGAAATATTCCCTTTGGTCCAATTTAGAATCAAAGAAAAGTGAATGCAGAAAAATACTTGTAGAATACTTATAAGCCATATAATAATGAAATTGTATGAATACAAGGAGTATGTGATAGTATCACATAATATATAGTAGGAGTATGTGATATTATCAGTAGATCAGCTCGTCGGTTGATAGGTGGATAGTAATTAGGTTTATTGAAAAGTGTCATTTATGATCACTATTAGCTGAGGATTCAGAATACACCAATATTCCCGATATTCCCAATATGTTAACTTTACAATAACCCTTTACATCTATCTATCGTGCACCCAACTGATATACCAATGATATTACATAAGGTTAACCGAGGTATAGACAATTCTGAAGATATACAAAGCAACACATGACCCTAACTCAGTGCCACGTTACCTAGAAACACATGATTCTAACTCAGTGCCACTCACATGTTACCTAGCAACACATGACCCTAACTCAGTGCCACTCGCAGGTTACCTAGCAACACATGACCCTAATTCAGTGCCATTCACAGGTTACATAGCAACACATGACCCTAACTCAGTGCCACTCAGTTACCTAGCAACACACGACCCTAACTCAGTGCCACTCACATGTTACCTAGCAACACATGATCCTAACTCAGTGCCACTCAGTTACCTAGCAACACATGATCCTAACTCAGTGCCACTCAGTTACCTAGCAACACATGACCCTAACTCAGTGCCACTCGCAGGTTACCTAGCAACACATGATCCTAATTCAGTGCCATTCACAGGTTACCTAGCAACACATGATCCTAACTCAGTGCCACTCAGTTACCTAGCAACACATGACCCTAACTCAGTGCCATGTTACCTAGCAACACATGTCACATGACCCTAACTCAGTGCTACTCACAGATTACCTAGCAACACATGATCCTAATTCAGTGCCACTCACAGATTACCTAGCAACACATGATCCTAATTCAGTGCCATTCACAGGTTACCTAGCAACACTACATGGACTCACAGGACACTACCGAGGAAGCAGATTCTGTGACTTACAAAGCAACAAACAAATGTAATACAAGTAGTGCACAGTGCACAGTGACTAAGAGATAGCTCAGTGAAGAGCACTGATTCAAGGAGACACACAGTATCTAACCGTTACTTAGCAACATCACTACAGTTACTTAGTAACCGTTACTTAGCAACATCACTACAGTTACTTAGTAACCGTTACTTAGCAACATCACTACAGTTACTTAGTAACCGTTACTTAGCAACACCACTACAGTTACTAAGTAACCGTTACTTAGCAACATCACTACAGTTACTTAGTAACCGTTACTTAGCAACACCACTACAGTTACTAAGTAACCGTTACTTAGCAACATTACTACAGTTACTTAGCAACAGTAGCTAACTGAACAGTATCTAGCTCGGAGGAACTAAAAAGTATTCGTTCATTCCGATAGAAGGTACGAGTGAAGCCATTTCAAACACTACTAGAAATAAGGCTAAAGACTACCCATGTTACCTAGCAACACTACAGACTCTACCCATGTTACCTAGTAACACTACAGACTCTACCCATGTTACCTAGCAACACTACAGACTCTACCCATGTTACCTAGCAACACTACAGACTCTACCCATGTTACCTAACAACACTACAGACTCTACCCATGTTACCTAGCAACACTACAGACTCTACCCATGTTACCTAGCAACACTGCAGACTCTACCCATGTTACCTAGCAACACTACAGACTCTACCCATGTTACCTAGCAACACTGCAGACTCTACCCATGTTACCTAGCAACACTACAGACTCTACCCATGTTACCTAGCAACACTACAGACTCTACCCATGTTACCTAGCAACACTACAGACTCTACCCATGTTACCTAACAACACTACAGACTCTACCCTACTCTAGTAGTAGAAGTGGTAGTTCAGGGCAAATGTTAACAAAATAACGCGAACTTCTCATTAATCACTAAAATCACTGGTCCAGCATTTCTCACTGTAATTACCTAGGTGGGATACTCAGGTTACTGGTTTGAAAAATCAGCAGCTGTATAATCATATTGTGTTAGAGGAGGAAATAATGAGGGAAATCACCAGGGGAAATGCCACAAAACAGCCTCACAAGATTGCCTGGTCCTGGAGGTTCTGCGGAGGAACTGTTTACTGGTCAGTAGACAAAGGAATGCTGCTGACTGCTTACTTCCAGGGACCGCAGATTCAGCTACACCTGTGTTTATTTTGCACGTGCTCTATTTTATTTTGCACTTGGTCTATTTTATTTTGCACGTGGTCTATTTTATTTTGCACGTGCTCTATTTTACTTTGCACGTGCTCTATTTTATTTTGCACGTGCTCTATTTTACTTTGCACGTGCTCTACTTTACCCGCAGTACTTTGCACGTGCTGACAGCGCCATGTGTAAGTTAGTATGGGTTCGCAATGAAGCAGGGTTTCCAGATTTAAATACTAGTTTGCACCTACCCCCCGACTGAGAGATCAAAAGTTAAGAAATATATATAAGTTAGTTAAGAGAATCCGTACTTAATATCTTTACAAAGTATCTGAAAAAGTTAAGAGAATCCGTACTTAATATCTTTACAAAGTATCTTCTCAAAAGTTAAGAGAATCCGTACTTAATATCTTTACAAAGTATCTGAAAAGTTAAGAGAATCCGTACTTAATATCTTTACAAAGTATCTTCTCAAAAGTTAAGAGAATCCGTACTTAATATCTTTACAAAGTTAAGAGAATCCGTACTTAATATCTTTACAAAGTATCTTCTCAAAAGTTAAGAGAATCCGTACTTAATATCTTTACAAAGTTAAGAGAATCCGTACTTAATATCTTTACAAAGTATCTGAAAAAGTTAAGAGAATCCGTACTTAATATCTTTACAAAGTATCTTCTCAAAAGTTAAGAGAATCCGTACTTAATATCTTTACAAAGTATCTGAAAAGTTAAGAGAATCCGTACTTAATATCTTTACAAAGTATCTTCTCAAAAGTTAAGAGAATCCGTACTTAATATCTTTACAAAGTTAAGAGAATCCGTACTTAATATCTTTACAAAGTATCTTCTCAAAAGTTAAGAGAATCCGTACTTAATATCTTTACAAAGTTAAGAGAATCCGTACTTAATATCTTTACAAAGTATCTGAAAAAGTTAAGAGAATCCGTACTTAATATCTTTACAAAGTATCTTCTCAAAAGTTAAGAGAATCCGTACTTAATATCTTTACAAAGTATCTGAAAAGTTAAGAGAATCCGTACTTAATATCTTTACAAAGTATCTTCTCAAAAGTTAAGAGAATCCGTACTTAATATCTTTACAAAGTTAAGAGAATCCGTACTTAATATCTTTACAAAGTTAAGAGAATCCGTACTTAATATCTTCACAAAGTTAAGAGAATCCGTACTTAATATCTTTACAAAGTAACTGTAGTGGTGAGATCAAAAGTTAAGAGAATCCGTACTTAATATCTTTACAAAGTATCTGAAAATTGTTACAAAGTATCTAGAAATGCATACATGACTGTTGTAAATGCCTACATGATCACTAAATCACTGCTAAAACGTCTTTATGACTGCTGAAAATGATAACAAATCGGTTATAAATGTCTACATGACTGTTTAAAGTGTCTGAAAGACTGTTGTAGATACTTACAATGATTTTAAGAGAGGTAGACAATGGAAATGTCGCCTAAAAATTAGGCGGCTGTCTTAACTATTTAGGCTTTATTCAAACGAACTATTAGAATTTGATGGAAGTGGCACTAAAATACAAGGTTCTTAAACTAAAATCAGAGAGAGAGAGAGGGGGAAATGTCCAGTAAAACATTACGATGATCTGATCATTTGAACAAAGAAAATGGATAAGTGCACTTTCTGATCGATATAATTAACTTTGAAGTATGAATTACACTTTACAAAAATCTTATGATAGCAGAAGATTTACCATATTCGATATAAAATAATTTTATAGTTAGTTTTATCGGGAAATGTAGTGGCTCCGAGACATGGCTGACGTTGCATCTGACGTTTTGCTCGAAGTCTAAGTAAAATTGGAAATGAGGCCGGAATTTGATGTAATGGAAAATATGAGTGATAAACCTCGTGCTATGTAGAACATCTTACTATATATAAGCGAGACGATATATATATATATATGGATCCGTGCCATTTTACTGACACCACGGCATCAACTTTAACGTGACTTTCCGCAAAAACCGTAAAAGATATACAACTGAAACTTTTTTGACTGGGTCAAATGCTTTAATGGCCTTCAAATCAGCAAAAAAATTAGCCAAGGAATAAGAGGAAGGAATAAGACACCACTTGGACTCGTAAACCTCGTGCGATGTAGAACATATTGTGTTATGACGGGATCCTGCTAGTATTGTGTAATGGTTGAAGGGACGTAAAATCGTCTTTAGCAGAGCCACTGGAGGTGACATTTATATGTGGGTAATGTTGATCATTGCAGCATCCCGCTCAATTTTAAACTACCTTATCGGCCCTCATTTGTGAGGATATTATGTTGACAGACATCATTTTGGGCGGACATAATTATGAAAGCAAAAACATGGGTTTATCACACTCGGTTGAGTATTTGAATAAGCAATGCTATAATGGAACACTAAGAGTGGAAACAAAATCAGTATAAAAATAACAATCCTTCTCCTTCCGCAATCCAGCAACATAGCAGAGGGATAGTACCACGGATTCAACAGTTTTCCTGTTCCTATTCAACAATCAGGAAGTCCCTGGAGTGTCTTAAGAAAGAACAAGTCCTGACTGAAGTCCAGATCAAGATGGTGATGATGCGAGAGGATGCTTAGTCAAGATCTGCGGAACAGAGAAGATACGACGAAAGACTCCAGAGGATTATCACGAGCTTCAACGAATGAGGAGTCAAATGAGATGACGAAAATAAGTCAGCGGGAGAAGGCTAACTAATTCCAGTCGCAAGCCTGGGACCACTACTAGCATTGTCACAACATCTACAAAGCTGCCATATAGCCTGACTGACAATTTTCTCGACTGACTGACAATGTTTCTTCTTTTTTCCCCATTTAGTCAGTGATTTATTTGAAGCTTGTAATTACAATAACTAATGCTCCTGTAAATACTTTAATTAATTGTTTGTTCCGTTATTCTTTTTCCTTCCTCTTTTCCTTGTCATCCCCTTTAGTTTTAAGATTCTTGCTATAAATGGCTACAGCTGACACTATTAATGCTAAGTACCAAACAACAAGTGGGAGGTGGATCGTTGGTATACCTTTAAATCGATTTAACACCGCAATTCCAGTCGCAAGCCTGGGACCACTACTAGCATAGTCACAACATCGACAAAGCTGCCATATAGCCTGACTGACAATTTTCTCGACTGACTGACAATGTTTCTTCTTTTTCCCCATTTAGAATACAAAGATTAGTACATTTTAGCTTATGATTAATATTATATTTTTACCTATAGTTTACCTAGATGTAGTAGTGTTGCTAAGTAACGGTTACTAAAGTACTAAGCTGATAGTTTTGTAGTTATATCAGTTTAATTGTTTACAGTAGCCCTGAACAAATGATATGCCAGTCAAAAGATAGCAAGAGCTACTAGTATATATATATCTAGTAGTTGTAGTATATATCTAGTAGTTGTAGTATATACTTATATAGCTAGTGGTTTAGAGTTAAACACAGAACACTACTAGATTCAAACTACAAAATATAGTAGAAGTACAACACTGTAATAAAACCACTAAAATATTAAACCTATTTGAGAGTTTGAGATAAGTAAACAAGTCCTAGTTACTAGTGTAAACGAAACCTCGCTGTGTAAATCTAGCAGCTCTCCTAGTGCTATACTGTATAGTACTACTAGTGTAGTATAGTGTATACTATTACTACTAGCTACTGTAGTACTGTACATTCTGACTCTCAACTCCCTACAACTAAGCTACTAGTGTAGTATACTACTCTCAACTCTCTACAACTAAGCTACTAGTGTAGTATACTACTCTCAACTCTCTACAACTAAGCTACTAGTGTAGTATACTACTCTCAACTCTCTACAACTAAGCTACTAGTGTAGTATACTACTCTCAACTCTCTACAACTAAGCTACTAGTGTACTATACTAGTACTACTAGCTACTGTACATTCAGACTCTCAACTCTCAACTCTCTACAACTAAGCTACTAGTGTAGTATACTACTCTCAACTCTCTACAACTAAGCTACTAGTGTAGTATACTACTCTCAACTCTCTACAACTAAGCTACTAGTGTAGTATACTACTCTCAACTCTCTACAACTAAGCTACTAGTGTAGTATACTACTCTCAACTCTCTACAACTAAGCTACTAGTGTAGTATACTACTCTCAACTCTCTACAACTAAGCTACTAGTGTAGTATACTACTCTCAACTCTCTACAACTAAGCTACTAGTGTAGTATACTACTCTCAACTCTCTACAACTAAGCTACTAGTGTAGTATACTAGTACTATTAGCTACTGTACATTCAGACTCTCAACTCTCAACTCTCTACAACTAAGCTACTAGTGTAGTATACTACAACTAGTGTAGTATACTAGTTTAACGTTTAACGATATAATCGATGCCGGGCTTGTGAACTAGAGATGGATTATAACAACGAGTAGTCCCTCAGTCATTGTCCAATAGTAGGCTGGGGTTGTGGTTGGGAGCCAATAGGGACAGAGTATATTGAGGTTGGGAGCCAATAGGGACGGAGTATATTGAGGTTGGGAGCCAATAGGGACGGAGTATATTGTGGTATTGTGGTACAGGAAATCAGGGGTCGGATAAACAAGAGCTTGCTACATTATGCAACAAGTTCCAGCTAGGAGCGAGATGTTGTTATTTGTGAGATATAGACGGAGATGCGAACACAAGCAACTACATTTTAGCTCCGTTGCTAGGGGACTGATCTGGTTGATATGGTTGCTATGGTAAACACAAGCAACTACATTTTAGCTCCGTTGCTAGGGGACTGATTCTGGTTGATATGGTTGCTATGGTGAACACAAGCAACTACATTTTAGCTCCGTTGCTAGGGGACTGATTCTGGTTGATATGGTTGCTATGGTGAACACAAGCAACTACATTTTAGCTCCGTTGCTAGGGGACTGATTCTGGTTGATATGGTTGCTATGGTGAACACAAGCAACTACATTTTAGCTCCGTTGCTAGGGGACTGATTCTGGTTGATATGGTTGCTATGGTGAACACAAGCAACTACATTTTAGCTCCGTTGCTAGGGGACTGATTCTGGTTGGTATGGTTGCTATGGTGAACACAAGCAACTACATTTTAGCTCCGTTGCTAGGGGACTGATTCTGGTTGATATGGTTGCTATGGTGAACACAAGCAACTACATTTTAGCTCCGTTGCTAGGGGACTGATTCTGGTTGATATGGTTGCTATGGTGAACACAAGCAACTACATTTTAGCTCCGTTGCTAGGGGACTGATTCTGGTTGATATGGTTGCTATGGTGGCCATGGCAACGTACGAAATCCAGAAGTCGCCACTAAACCTTAAGAAGCTTAGAAATAACAATAACTTTTTACAGAATCAAGTTTAGACAAATGATTAAAAAGTTATTCAACAAATAAATCCTTACAATTTTACAAGACTTTTGAAACACCCTCTAGTCTCTGCTTGGTAGATATGATGATAGCTAGACTATAATCTAGACTATAGACTACAGTAGTAGATCTAGTAGTAATCTAGACTATGGAGTGATAATCTAGACTATAATCTATACTATAATCAAGACTATAGACTACAGTAGTAGTAGAATCTAGACTATAATCTAGACTGTAGACTACAGTAGTAGTAGAATCTATACTATAATCTAGACTATAGACTACAGTAGTAGTAAAATCTAGACTATAATCTAGACTATAATCTAGACTATAATAGACTACAGTAGTAGTAAAATCTAGACTATAATCTAGACTATAGACTACAGTAGTAGTAGAATCTATACTATAATCTAGACTATAGACTACAGTAGTAGTAGAATCTAGACTATAATCTAGACTATAGACTACAGTAGTAGTAGAATCTAGACTATGGAGTGATAATAGTACGTATTGACAGGTAGAGTATCAAGTAGTAAATCATTGCAAATCTAAAAACAAAGCTAACCTGCTAACTAAACAGACTCGTGATGAGTAACTGTAGTGGTGTTGCCATGACAGCAATAACTAACAGCTCTTTGGGCGCCACCGAGATCACAATGGAATAAAACAAACTAAATGCAAATAATGAACAAGTATATAAATAATCAATAATGAGCAGCCACAGATATATCACACAGTATTGAGTAAAACATGCAAAAACCTCAATAAACACACAGATGATAGCACCGCTCATATAAGCATAGTAAACTGTAGTAACTGTAAGTAACGGTTACTAAGTAACTGTAGTGGTGTTGCTAAGTAACGGTTACTAAGTAGCTGTAGTGGTGTTGCTAAGTAACGGTTACTAAGTAACTGTAGTGGTGTTGCTAAGTAACGGTTACTAAGTAACTGTAGTGGTGTTGCTAAGTAACGGTTACTAAGTAGCTGTAGTGGTGTTGCTAAGTAACGGTTACTAAGTAACTGTAGTGGTGTTGCTAAGTAACGGTTACTAAGTAACTGTAGTGGTGTTGCTTAGTAACGGTTACTAAGTAACTATAGTGGTGTTGCTAAGTAACGGTTACTAAGTAACTGTAGTGGTGTTGCTAAGTAACGGTTACTATGTAACTGTAGTGGTGTTGCTAAGTAACGGTTACTAAGTAGCTGTAGTGGTGTTGCTAAGTAACGGTTACTAAGTAGCTGTAGTGGTGTTGCTAAGTAACGGTTACTAAGTAACTGTAGTGGTGTTGACTGTTGCTAAGTAACTGTAGTGGTGTTGCTAAGTAACGGTTACTAAGTAACTAGCTACAACTCACAGTTTAGTCAGAGTATCAGTTGGGCAGTTCCGGGAAAAATCGTACAAAAACAATCATACACATTTACAAAATTTATTAAATGTAGTTGTACAGTTTGAAACAAATAACACAAAACAAGTGACCAAACATAGCTTTGTAAATAATAGGTAAACATTTGTATACGTCACAGTTCACGCAGTCTAAACCGACTGTTGAGTAAAAATCTGAGTACTTTTTACGAAGTTGCGAGTTGTAAGTACGACAGTAAGTCCGTCTGTTGCCATGACGACACAAGTACGTACGTTTCTCTGAAAACTAAACTACAAGGTGTGAACATATACCACGTTGCCATGACGACACCTAATATTCCACCTTCTGTGACGTCACTCAGTAAAGTTGTGACGTGTCGAAAACCAAGTTCTGTGCTCAAATAAGGTTATACCGCGGTGTGAAATCCACGATAGTGATCCAAAAGACTGGCGTATTGGCGTGATTTTGAAACTGCTGAAAGCTCGGGAAGGTTACCTGATCCTCTGATCGAAGCGTTACGAAAGGGTTCGTAACTTTAACTGTAATGTGATGAAAGCAGGGTAGCCAGTATTAACTAAGTAACGGTTACTAAGTAACGGTTACTTAAGCCGAGTAGCCAGCGATATTGTCCAGACTGTGGAAGATGAAGTAAAACTGGAGCACTAGGCTGCCCTCACAGGTAAACTACTTGCATTCTATCGGGGGAGAAGCCGTGAAACTTGTAGAAAACTCAGGTGTTGAGTACTTTACAGAGGGTAATTTACTGTTTACTTTGAAGTTTAATAAATGCTGATTTACACCACCGAAAATGCAAGTTTTTTGTGTCTTTTCTGATTATTCCGTGCTTCATATGCTAATAATAGCTTGGTTACCATGGTTACTGCTACTAATAGCTTAACAGTACGAATTGTTGCATCTATTCAGGAATTAGTACGAGAACCACGATTAAGTTTGAAGGAATCTAAACAATATAGTGAAACTAAACAAGTGAAAACTAAACAAGTATCTAGTTATAACTCAAAAAACAAACGAATCTGCGAGGGCAGTACCAAGACGCTAATAATAGCTACTAACTTCGCTCACTATAAATATATAGTGAATTATCGAGCACATTTCATGGATTTTCAAGTGCTGACAGTTAAGAATTGGGCGAAACTACTAGAATCAGGCTAGCTGACTGAGTTGGAGAAATGCGCAGCTAGTTGGCTAGGTAACGGTTACTAAGTAGCAGCTAGTTGGCTAGGTAACAGTTACTAAGTAGCAGCTAGTTGGCTAGGTAACAGTTACTAAGTAGCAGCTAGTTGGCTAGGTAACAGTTACTAAGTAGCAGCTAGTTGGCTAGGTAACAGTTACTAAGTAGCAGCTAGTTGGCTAGGTAACGGTTACTAAGAAGCTGTTGGCTACTTACCAATCTGAGTAGCACGAGCCGGGAACCTGTTCCAGCGAAGTGCTGACAACTAAAAGTTTTCTATTGTGAACTTTGAAACAGATTCTAAGAAACATCTCTCCTAAGACTCGCGAGCTTTTATTAATTGTAGCAAAATGTAACAAAAGCAAGCTATACATTTCAAACTGACAATCCTTATTTGGTTTCTCCCGTTTTATATTTATTTAAATAAAGAAACTTCTAACACAGGAGACGCTCGTCCCCGCTCGCAAGTTATGGTAACAATCCACAGTAAACTACACAAGTGCTAGAAATGCGATCTCCAGTACGTAAATATTATTTCTGCACTGCTGGGCAGTGATAATTGAATTTTAATAGAAAATATAAAGGAAGTGATCCTAATCGGACTTAGACTTAGGTTATCATATATAATAAAGGTTAATATATAAACAAGACTGTCGCTTAATCGTATGGAAATATTATACCGAGAACTAAAATAATACAACCAAGTTACTGGAATATGGCACCCTCTCCAGGCTAACAACCATCCCTCTCCAGGCTCACAACCATCCCTCTCCAGGCTCACAACCACCCCTCTCCGGGCTTACAACCACCCCTCTCCATGCTTACAATCATCCCTCTCCATGCTCACAACCATCCCTCTCCATGCTTACAACCACCCCTCTCCAGGCTTACAACCACCCCTCTCCAGGCTCACAACCACCCCTCTCCAGGCTTACAACCATCCCTCTCCAGGCTCACAATCACCCCTCTCCAGGCTCACAACCACCCCTCTCCATGCTTACAACCACCCCTCTCTAGTCTTACAACCACCCCTCTCCAGGCTCACAACCATCCTTCTCCAGGCTCACAACCACCCCTCTCCAGGCTCACAACCATCCTTCTCCAGGCTCACAACCACCCCTCTACAGGCTTACAACCACCCCTCTCCAGGCTAACAACCATCCCTCTCCAGGCTCACAACCACCCCTCTCCAGGCTTACAACCACCCCTCTCCAGTCTCACAACCACCCCTCTCCAGGCTTACAACCACCCCTCTCCAGTCTCACAACCACCCCTCTCCAGGCTCACAACCACCCTCTCCAGGCTTACAACCATCCCTCTCCAGGCTCACAACCACCCCTCTCCAGGCTTACAACCACCCCTCTCCAGTCTCACAACCACCCCTCTCCAGGCTCACAACCACCCCTCTCCAGGCTTACAACCACCCCTCTCCAGGCTCACAACCATCCCTCTCCAGGCTAACAACCATCCCTCTCCAGGCTCACAACCACCCCTCTCCAGGCTTACAACCACCCCTCTCCAGGCTCACAACCACCCCTCTCCAGGCTTACAACCATCCCTCTCCAGGCTCACAACCATCCCTCTCCAGGCTTACAACCACCCCTCTCCAGGCTTACAACCACCCCTCTCCAGGCTCACAACCATCCCTCTCCAGGCTAACAACCATCCCTCTCCAGGCTCACAACCATCCCTCTCCAGGCTCACAACCACCCCTCTCCGGGCTTACAACCACCCCTCTCCATGCTTACAATCATCCCTCTCCATGCTCACAACCATCCCTCTCCATGCTTACAACCACCCCTCTCCAGGCTTACAACCACCCCTCTCCAGGCTCACAACCACCCCTCTCCAGGCTTACAACCATCCCTCTCCAGGCTCACAATCACCCCTCTCCAGGCTCACAACCACCCCTCTCCATGCTTACAACCACCCCTCTCTAGTCTTACAACCACCCCTCTCCAGGCTCACAACCATCCTTCTCCAGGCTCACAACCACCCCTCTCCAGGCTCACAACCATCCTTCTCCAGGCTCACAACCACCCCTCTACAGGCTTACAACCACCCCTCTCCAGGCTAACAACCATCCCTCTCCAGGCTCACAACCACCCCTCTCCAGGCTTACAACCACCCCTCTCCAGGCTCACAACCACCCCTCTCCAGGCTTACAACCACCCCTCTCCAGGCTCACAACCACCCCTCTCCAGGCTCACAACCACCCCTCTCCAGGCTCACAACCATCCCTCTCCAGGCTCACAACCACCCCTCTCCAGGCTTACAACCACCCCTCTCCAGGCTCACAACCACCCCTCTCCAGGCTCACAACCACCCCTCTCCAGGCTTACAACCACCCCTCTCCAGGCTCACAACCATCCCTCTCCAGGCTAACAACCATCCCTCTCCAGGCTCACAACCACCCCTCTCCAGGCTTACAACCACCCCTCTCCAGGCTCACAACCACCCCTCTCCAGGCTTACAATCATCCCTCTCCAGGCTCACAACCATCCCTCTCCAGGCTTACAACCACCCCTCTCCAGGCTTACAACCACCCCTCTCCAGGCTCACAACCACCCCTCTCCAGGCTCACAACCATCCCTCTCCAGGCTCACAGCCACCACTCTCCAGGCTCACAACCACCCCTCTCCAGGCTCACAACCACCCCTCTCCAGTCTTACAATTACCCCTCTCCAGTCTTACAATTACCCCTCTCCAGGCTCACAACTAACCCTCTCCAGGCTTACAACCACCTCTCTCCAGACACACAACCACCCCTCTCCAGGCTTACAACCATCCCTCTCCAGGCTTACAACCACCCCTCTCCAGGCTCACAACCACCCCTCTCCAGGCTCACAACCACCCCACTCCAGGCTCACAACCACCCCTCTCCAGGCTCACAACCACCCCTCTCCAGGCTTACAACCATCCCTCTCCAGGCTTACAACCACCTCTCTCCAGACACACAACCACCCCACTCCAGGCTCACAACCACCCCTCTCCAGGCTCACAACCACCCCTCTCCAGGCTTACAACCATCCCTCTCCAGGCTCACAACCACCCCTCTCCAGGCTCACAACCACCCCACTCCAACCTTCCCCAGGGTTGCCACACCCCAGAGGTAGGCAGAGCATCTCAATGCTATCCTTTCGTGGGCTATCTTGGCCCAACCTCTCTTTTTTTTTTAAACTCTAAGAACCACCCCTCTCCAGACACACAACTCTAACTGATGTTAACGAAGACAGAGCAACTCTGAGATGCAGATTTCTAAACAGAGCCGTTCATGTGCAAGCTGATTTTAAACCAGATGCATAGAGCGCAGTTTTCGTGTCAAACAATAAACCATTCACAGCACATACATTAGGCTTGTCAGCCTAGAAGAGTAGAGTTGTTGAAATGATAATTGATTGGATAAATTAAAGAAATGAGCTCCGGCTGGCCAGGACTCGGTGGCTTTAATTCCTGCTGACTGGAAACTTCCACTTGTAGTTGTACGCATTCTTTTACTCTAATAAACCATTTTTAGTGGCAACATTCAATTAAGTAATGGATATTCATAGCACTGAATATGAGTATTGAAGGAATGCAAAAGCAAAATATCGAGTAAGCCAGTAAGACTAAGAGTTTGCTGCAGCAGAGAGCTCAGTTAATGTTGTGAGGTGGTCATTACGGTTGTGAGGTTGCTGTCACAGTTGTGAGGTGGCCGAAATGGAAACTCGTTACTGGACTTGAGTGGAATAAAGGCAGCGATCTCGCTGTCCGGGTGGTCAGCAACTCTGATGACCCGATAGAGAATTTTATGAAGCACACAAAAGTAAACCAAAGTAAGTAACATACCTTTGCGAACACAATATGGACAAAAACGCATGAGAGTAAAGGAAATATTTCTACGAACATAGTGATAGTGAAAAACCTATACAAAGGATGCCACAATGCTGGCAACATGCCGCCACCTCTAAGTCGCCCACAAAAAGCCACTGAGCTGCAAAATTTGACCACCACTCGATAGAATTAAAAGAATTAAAGGTGTTAAGTGATTTAAACCTCATTCTGTCCGATGACCATAATGATAATATGCTATAGGACTACTTGTTCCAGAACCACGTAACCACGTGCCTAAGAACAACTTGTTCACTTGAAAAACCGTGGAAAGTTGTGCAAATTCGCCGAGATTTTCGAGATTTTCGAGATTTTCGCCGCGATTTTGCCTAGTTTGGCTTGTCGCGGTGCAATTTTTGGCCTAAATAATCGCGAAATTTTGTGTCCTTGTGCTGTAGAGTGTATTTTCACAGAACTGAAAATTAAAACAAATCGCGGTTACAACTAAATTTCAAAAAGGTGTAATCATTTCGATGTGTTGCAAGATTACTTGGTTCGATGTGTTGCAAGATTACTGAGTAATTACGAGGGATATTGCTAGGTAACGGGGCTGATAGGTAACGAAACATAAATGTTGCTAGGTAACAGTTACTGAGTACTAATAAGTTACAAGATATAAATGTTGCTAGGCAACGTTACGTCAACTGATTGTGATCCTGAAATGACAGGTATAAGCCAGAAGTTAGGTTCAAATTAAAACTAGATCATTCAGTCAGATACAGTATACTCCTCTCTACAAAGCTCGGTTGTGAGCGGAGGTACTGGTAGCGTCCCGTGGTTCTAGAAGTTGTCTGTCGTGTCGTCGTGAGGTACTGGTAGCGTCCCGTGGTTCTAGAAGTTGTCTGTCGTGTCGTCGTGAGGTACTGGTAGTGTCCCGTGGTTCTAGAAGTTGTCTGTCGTGTCGTCGTGAGGTACTGGTAGCGTCCCGTGGTTCTAAAAGTTGTCTGTCGTGTCGTCGTGAGGTACTGGTAGCGTCCCGTGGTTCTAGAAGTTGTCTGAACTGTATTGAATTACGGTTACAGTTGGCTAGTAGAAAGTATTCGGGTCATCAACAAACCAAGTTTACTATAATACAGTCTGTTATAATGTAGTACAGTAAAAACACTCTACAGAAAATAGTCTAGCATAAATGTACTGATCGATATAATGAGGATGATATACATGAGGATTGAGGATAGCACGAAGACACGGCAGGTACCTAACTATTGCCTGGGAGTATTTACGAAGGAGTATTTACCTTCGTCTCTACTAGTGAGGTATCTAACTAAAAAGTAGAGGTCAAAGTGAGGTATCTGATTTCATTATAATGACACTCATCCTTCTTACCTGTGTACAAGTACAACAAGCTCTGTTCTTGTAGCTTCTCGGTGCGCTCTAAAAAACTTAGGTTATCTGATTAGTTACTAATGATGAGTTACAATCAGTTTGTGAAATATATGCTCAATGCTATTGTGAAGGATAGAGAGTCAAGGGCGGGTCACATACGAAGAGCTGAGAGGGTCACATACAACACGGCAGAGCGTGCAGACTGTCCCTTGCTTGAGTGAGTAACTGCGTGCAGACTGTCACTTGCTTGAGTGAGTTACTGCGTGCAGACTGTCACTTGCTTGAGTGAGTAACTGCGTGCAGACTGTCACTTGCTTGAGTGAGTTACTGCGTGCAGACTGTCACTTGCTTGAGTGAGTAACTGCGTGCAGACTGTCACTTGCTTGAGTGAGTTACTGCGTGCAGACTGTCACTTGCTTGAGTGAGTAACTGCGTGCAGACTGTCACTTGCTTGAGTGAGTAACTGCGTGCAGACTGTCACTTGCTTGAGTGAGTAACTGCGTGCAGACTGTCACTTGCTTGAGTGAGTAACTGCGTGCAGACTGTCACTTGCTTGAGTGAGTTACTGCGTGCAGACTGTCACTTGCTTGAGTGAGTTACTGCGTGCAGACTGTCACTTGCTTGAGTGAGTAACTGCGTGCAGACTGTCACTTGCTTGAGTGAGTAACTGCGTGCAGACTGTCACTTGCTTGAGTGAGTAACTGCGTGCAGACTGTCACTTGCTTGAGTGAGTAACTGCGTGCAGACTGTCCCTTGCTTGAGTGAGTAACTGCGTGCAGACTGTCCCTTGCTTGAGTGAGTAACTGCGTGCAGACTGTCACTTGCTTGAGTGAGTAACTGCGTGCAGACTGTCACTTGCTTGAGTGAGTAACTGCGTGCAGACTGTCACTTGCTTGAGTGAGTAACTGCGTGCAGACTGTCACTTGCTTGAGTGAGTAACTGCGTGCAGACTGTCACTTGCTTGAGTGAGTAACTGCGTGCAGACTGTCCCTTGCTTGAGTGAGTAACTGTGTGCAGACTGTCACTTGCTTGAGTGAGTAACTGCGTGCAGACTGTCACTTGCTTGAGTGAGTAACTGCGTGCAGAACGGGGTAGTCAATAATTTTAGAGCACATATAACTGTTTGTATCGAATATAAAGAAAGTAGTAAGTTTTCCTGAATGCACGCGTTAATATCGAATTGAAATAGAAATATAACCGGTCATATGTCAGCTAAACAACCGTACAAATTGCTGTCTCGTTAGTTATTCGTTATTTGGATTTTCAAACGATAAAGCAACTGACAAATTAGCTAAACGAAATACTATGTTTAATATGTTTAGTATGTAACCATGGTAACGGTAATACTATGTCTAGTGTTTACAGGGAGCGTTTAACAGTTTTACGACGATAAAGCCATAACGGAAAATAACTATCTGCTTTGCGGAGTAGTAGAGTTAATAAACAAATTCTAAACACGGCGCTTATAAAAGTATAAAGTAGCAAACAGGAGGAAATTGGAGGGAGTTCCCAATTCCCACTATTACCCATTACCCACAATAATAATACCCACTATCATATCCATTAACCACTGATACCCACCAACGACAGATCTATAAGGTGTACGCCTTCTATTGTACAATGAAAAATATGACCCGTTAGCAGAGATAACTTTGCAGCGTGACAATAACTTTGCAGTGTAATAAACCCTGTATTCTACCACTAGAGACAGCGAACAAGGTCGATTAGGTTTAGTAAATAATATTTACTATGACAATACACTAAATACAATCCGCAGCATAAACTGTGCTCAAATTACCAGCTGTAAGGTTTATACTGCTACTGATCTTGAAGGTTACCGCTACCAAGGTTACCGCTACCAAGGTTACTGCTGCCAAGGTTACTGCTACCAAGGTTACTGCTGCCAAGGTTACTGCTACCAAGATTATTGCTACCAAGGTTACTGCTGCCAAGGTTACCGTTACCAAGGTTATTGCTACCAAGGTTATTGCTACCAAGGTTACTGGTACCAAGGTTACTGCTACCAAGGTTCCGCTGCCAAGGTTACTGCTACCAAGGTTACTGGTACCAAGGTTACTGCTACCAAGGTTACTGGTACCAAGGTTACTGGTACCAAGGTTACTGGTACCAAGGTTACTGCTACCAAGGTTACTGCTACCAAGGTTACTGGTACCAAGGTTACTGCTACCAAGGTTACTGCTACCAAGGTTACTGCTACCAAGGTTACTGCTACCAAGGTTACTGGTACCAAGGTTACTGGTACCAAGGTTATTGCTACCAAGGTTACTGGTACCAAGGTTACTGCTACCAAGGTTCCGCTGCCAAGGTTACTGCTACCAAGGTTACCGCTACCAAGGTTACCGCTACCAAGGTTACTGCTACTAAGGTTACCGCTACCAAGGTTACCGCTACCAAGGTTACTGCTACCAAGGTTACCGCTACCAATGTTACTGCTACCAAGGTTATTGCTACCAAGGTTACTGCTACCAAGGTTACTGCTATTATTATAAGTTATGACCCTGCTCGCCGCTATAAGTTGACTCTGCAACTGCTATTTCTAGTCTCCATGACAGAGCTGATACTATAATTTCTAGACTATATCACAAAGCTGACAAACACACATATCGGCAACAAAATGTTTATTCTTTTATTCATTGAAACGCGTAGATGACGCACGAAATGTGATTTTTAACACATTTATTGATGTTAAAATTTACAAAGATACTTTACGAAGCAAACATTTTATACTTCACATTTTAGGTGCCCCTAGGAATTACACAGGTCCTCATCAAAAAAGTGCACTGAAAAGTAATCAAGCCTGAATTGTAATTTACAGTTACCTCTCATAACGTTAGAACGTTACATTATCATTGATAGTAACACACATTCCACATCAACCTGGAGATGAAATTACTTTTTAAAAGCTTGAACTAATAATATTTCCTATGCAAAAGCACGTATACAGCTGTAAGTCATCAGAAACGTGCACATCTCTGTAAGTCATCGGTATTTTTAAAATTTTTTTTGAATCAGCGAACACGTTAACCTATGATTAGAACGCAATCAAAATAACTAAGAAATAATGAATTACGATCGATACATAATATGCA